TCCTAGGATCAATGCAGAATGTAAAAAAATAACCTACTCTCTCTCAAATAAATAAATAAAATCTTTTAAAAAAATAACCTACTACATTATAAATGTATAAAACAACCTCACTTGACAGGGTTGGAAGGAAAAGGTGCTGACTTCAGTTACTAGGGGACTCAGTGGAATCTGTAAGACTAAAGGAAAATGGCACTGTATTTGATAAAGTTGTTTAAGATGGGTATTTTGGTTAATAATGTTGAAAGCATTAGATATACAAACTGGAATTGAACAATTACGTAAATGGTTGGCAGATGATGTAAAGTTTCTCACTGTTGGGGTAGAAGGTTACAGACAAGAAAAGAGAGGTTAGAATAATTCAAGTGATAATGGATTTGAATTGGAAACATCAGTATAAGTCATGTTTAACTCAGTATAACTCATTTATGCGTGTGTATGTATGGCTACACATATAAATATTTGTATATGTACAATTATTGTACATATACATATTTCTTTACTCTGTTAGCTGAGAAATCAATGACAATCCAGTAACAAAAGGAACACCTAAAACCCAGATCTTGGTTTCTATACCAATCTCCCATAAAACAAACCAGGATCTTTTAAAAGATGGCTGATTCTATGAAAGGATAAGAAATATAACAGCTGGCCTAGAACATCTTATAGTGCCAGAAAGTAAGGAAGTGCCACACACACACACACACACACATAAATTAATAAAAGCATGTCAAAATGATACAGGAATGAACCAAAAGAGCTTCCTATTGTCAAAGCTAGAAAAATTTGAACAAAATTAATGGCATGGTATTACACAAAGTAAAAAATAGATATTTGTGAATACACACTACTATAAAAATGAATAAATAAATTGGGGAGAATAGACACATTTCTTGTATAAAAGAATTCAAAATAATAATTGTAGATATTTTAGTGCAACATTACTCCTCAATTCTCAAAAGTGAGCTTGCATAGTGACTTCCTTCCAAAGAGTACAGTATGAAAATTGCAGGTAGGAGAAAAAGTAACTACACAGTGGAGAAACCTGACAAACACTACTTCAGGTAATAAAGGTTAAAGTAAATAGTGATAACTCATGTTGATAGTATGAATCCTTGATCTGATATGATGAGAATGGTACTTTACCTTCATGGTCTTTCTCCCCAAAACCCATAACCCCACTATTAATCATGAGAAAATAATTAGACAAATCCCACTTAAGAGACACTCTACAGCAAACTTGACCAGTTCTCAAAACTGTGAAGATCATCAAAACAAGGAGAATCTGGTATGCGTGACTGGCTCAGTTGGTAGAGAATGCAACTCTTCATCTCAGTGTCATGAGTTCAAGCCCTACATGGGCATGGTGCCTAGTTAATAAAAACAAACAAACAAATAAATATTTTTTTAAAAAAATCAAGGAAAATCTGAAAAAAAGGGTTACAGTCAAGAGCATCCTAGGTAGACATGAAAACTAAAATGTATTGTGACATCCTGTATGGTATCCTGGAAGAGTAGTAGGACATTAAGTAAAAACAATAGAAATATGAAAAAAATGTAGACTTTAGTTAGTAATAATGTGTTAATATTGATTGGTTGTAGGACAAATATCACATATTAATATGAGATGTTAATAGTATATAATATATGATATTAATAATAGGTGAAATAAGGTGTGGTATATTTGGGAACTATGTTATCTTCACAACTTTTATTTATAAATCTAAAACTTCTAAAATAAGTTTATTTTAAAAATATTTAAAAATCATTCACTTGGTGTTATTTGCAACTAATGAATGATTGAACACTACATCAAAAACTAATGATGTATTATTTGTTGACTAATTGAACATAATAAAAAAAATCATTCAATGTAATTCATCATAGTAACACAAAATAGGGAAAACATAATATAATCATCTCAAAAATAAGGAAAAAGTATTTTATAGAGTACAAAACCTATTCTTCATAAATCTCATGAGAACTAAGAATTGAACAAAGTTATTTAATGAGATAAAAAGAATTTACAAAAGAAATCAATTGCAAAATCATTGATAATATATTCAAAGCTGAGATTGGGAATAAAAAATTTTCTGTCACCATTTCTATTCATGGTGGATGTCCTAATGCAATAAGCTATGGAAAGGGAATAAACAGTGTATAAGAATTAGAAATGGAAAGGTATAAGTTTATTTACAGACAACAAAATAATGTGTGTGAATCATCTATCATCTATTTCTCTATTGTCTGTCTAATCTGAACATGAAAAATTAAAACTAAGAGTTAGTTTAGCAAAGGTGATGTATTAGTAAACAAATAACTACAGTGATATGCACTTCTGTGTGAAATAACAAATGAAAAATGAAGATTCATAAATATAACACTTTCAGGAATATCAGAAACATCAACTGCATAGGAAAAGATCTACACATAATATTACAAAACATCATTCAAAGAAAGTAAATAATATCTTACAAATGAAGGGATATAACATATTCAAATTGGCAGATTCAGTTACATATAATTTTTAATTCCTTCCCCCAAACTCATTTTAAAGATTCAATGTAATAGCATTCCAAGTCCAAATCCTGTTAAGTTTTTTTTGGAAATTGTGTTTAATTTCACAAGTTATGTAGAATGCAAAGAGCCAAAAAAAATCTCAGTCATCTTGATGAAAATGAAGAAAGTTTCATGAATTAAGTGACAAAATTTCAAAATTTCAATTTTATAGGTTACAGTAGTTAAGATTGTACTGACAAAAAATAGAAAACTAGTCCAGTGGGGAATAAAATAGACTCCACAAACAGATCAACAGATATACGATTACTTGATTTATAATAAATGTACTTCTGTTGCATGATGAGTAAATGATGATGTGTTCAAAAGTTGGTACTAGAGGGCACCTGGGTGGCTCTGTTGTTAAGTGTCTGCCTTCGGCTCGGGTCATGATCCCAGGGTCCTGGGATCGAGTCCCACATTGGGCTCCCTGCTTGGCAGGAAGCCTGCTTCTCCCTCTCCCAATCCCCCTGCTTGTGTTCCTGCTCTCGCTATCTCTCTCTCTGTCAAATAAATAAATAAAAATCTTAAAAAAAAGTTGGTACTAGATATATTGGTTATCAATATGAAAAAAAGATGAGTCTCATTTTCAAACCATACAAGGGAAATAAAAATGGAGAGACTAAAATAGCAGATGGGGGAGAGCATCTACAGGGGAGCTGTCTTCAGTAATTTTCTTAAACTGAGAATATTAAGTGATATGTTTTGCCCATGCAGGGAACTTATGGGGAAAATATGAATGATTACATGCAGGATGAACACATTTGTTGAAGTTTAACCGATAAGCACAGTGCTGTTTTACCAAATTCTGGGCTGCACAGGGATGTATAGTAAATACCTAAACTGTGTGGAATAAAAAGCTAAAGTGCTAAGCTAAAATATTTTTTAGCACAGGGATAAATTATCCACAGTTTACAGGGCTGAGTTTAAAAAGGAAACAGCATGGGCACCTGGGTGGTTCAGTCGGTTAAGGTCCAACTCTTGATTTTGGCTTAGGTCATGATCTCAGGGTCCTGGGATGGAGCCCTGTGTTGGGCTCCTTGCTCAGTGGGGAGTCTGCTGGAGATTCTCTTTCTTCCTCTACCTCTGCCCTTCCCCCATGTTCTCTCTCTCTCTAAAATGAATAAATAAACAAATCTTAAAAAAAATTTTAAAAAAAGGAAACTGCAGTTGCAACAGGTGTGAAAAACAGGTGGAATGATACCAAAAATAAAAATTAATCTGAATTCCCCTCAATAATTACAGAGAGACATAATATATATCTACAGATATATACACAGATATATCTACAGATATGTACAAATATATCTACAGACTAAGAAAGAGTAGCCTCTAATATATTTAGGTTCATTCTTTAAGGAAACATGGATATTATGATGGCTAATTTTTCTCCATGAGTGACTCACATAGATGATACCTTCATGAGAACTTTATACCTGAAGTTTTGCTGTGATTGAAGTTGAAAAACCTTGTAATTTTTTTAAGATTTTATTTATTTATTTGACAGTGAGAAAGACAGCGAGAGAGGGAATACAAGCAGGGGGAGTGGGAGAGGGAGAAGCAGGTTTCCTGCAGGGCAGGGAGCCTGATGCGGGCTCGATCCCAGGATCCTGGGATCATGACCTGAGCCGAAGGCAGAGGCTTAACGACTGAGCCACCCAGGCGCCCCAGAAAAACCTTGTAATTAATTGGTATTATTTTTTATGATACATTATTGGGTTGGATCTAAATTCACGTGCAGATAGATCTATTTCTGTTAGATTATTTGAGTTTTCTAAGGTGCTGTGAAATATGTGCATCATAAATGAACAACTCACAATTGAAGGACCTTGGAATTTGCAGCCAGAAGTTTGAGATTCAGTTATATGCTTTGACCATGATACATGAGATTGAATAAAATCATAAGCAGCCGGATACCTGATATCTAGCTTCTTACATCATTAGGTTTACTTTAGGAGGAAAACATATGCTATGAGAGATGCCATTTTTTTTTTCTGCTCTGGAATCTGGAAGATACAGGAAGATACAAGAACTGGTTAATAGTAAGATGTTGTTTCTGTATAAATGCTCTTGACAGGTTTTGAGACCAATGTACTTTATTTGCTCTGACTTGACTGCATTTAGTGAACCTCTGGTCTATATTCAAAGGAATGTGGCCTTTTTTGAGTAAGGACACCCAATATCCCTAATGTAGAAACCACAGAGGAACACATGAACAATGCAGATATGATATATATATTTTTCATCTTTGACTACTGTCCCAACACTGTCTGCATAGACAAAAACAAATGGAGAACAGAACCATTTAGCTCACTTTCCCTGGGGCACCATTAACTACCCAGTTGCCCTGCACTGAATTTTTCATATATCTAGTTCACTTGGGACCAGAAGTTAAGAGTGCCATCCATAGTAAGAGTTTTCAGGACAAAGAAGTTGTAGGTAGAGGGGGTGCCACGATTTGAGCGAATGATGATGCTTGAGGAGGTATGATAACATAAAAATCATGCTCACTAGGATTACATTGGGGGCCATCAGAAATGATAATCCTAGATTGTGAAGTGGAGGAAGGGGTTCTTAGCTTTCCTAGAGTAGATATTCTAATGATGGGCTTCAGATAATAAATCTCCTGTGTGAAAGTTGTTCATCCACCCCTTCCTGCCTCCTTCCAAGTGAGAAATACTCCTATATTAACTGGGTTTGGGTGCTTCATTCTCATATTTTTTTGGGAAATTATACTTCATTTCTTTCTTATATTGTGTATTACAGTCATCTGACTGGCATGATATGCACCATTACGTGAATTAGGGCTAGTTAACTACCTTTGGTAACTGAAAAATTCCAAATTGATTTTTAAATCAGTGAAGACTTACCTCTAGGGCATTTAGGTTCATTCTTTCAAACAACATGACTATCATTATGGCTTCCTTTTCTCCCAGGGTCATGTATATGATGGGATCTTCAACAGAAGAATTTCATTTTTCAAATGAGCTTGCTTTAACTGAAAGTTGAGAGAGTTTTATGATCCATTTGGCATTTCTATAGTGCCACATTTGCTTGGGTCTAAATGCCCGAGTAGACAAAGTCAACCATTATATTACTTCATGTTTTCAATGTATTGTATTTATGGGTCATTTTTGGACTATGAATATTTAAGTCTCCTGACAATTGTGGACAAAGGTTTCAGAGTCAGACATTTATTTGCCTGTGGATGTAACAATCAATAAAATTAGAAGCTTCTTGGTATATTATTTACTGTTTAGGAGTAGTTCCCAAGAGATACAGTTTTCAACTTTGACTACTCTCCTACTCCTGTCCTCTTAAATAAAGACTACTGAAGAAGAGTACTTTCTGACATTCTACACTGGGGACACATGACAACTATCCAGACTAACTTTGCTGAATCTTCCCAAACTCTAATCCACTTTGCCACAAGGGTTTCAGAATGCCAACTCTAGTTAGAGTTTTCAGGATCAAATAGGTCTATAATGAGAATGCCATGGCTTGGGTCATAAGGAAACTTGATAACAAAAATTATGCTGACATCAGCATAGGTTCCATTCTTAGGAAGGGATGTAGACGAGTTCTAGGGTAAGAAAACAGAGTTATGGAAGCAGATACAATAAAGAAAGAACAAGTGGTCATTGAAAATTTAGATAAGACACTGTGTCAGAAGGAAAGCATCAGAATAGATGGTGGTTGCCCTAGTAAATTAGAAAAAAAAAACTGGAATAAAACAGTTATGCTACTAAATGGCAAAATTAGAACTGAAATACAGCGCCATAGAAATCAACTTATTTTTTTATTTCAATGTACAGTGTAGCAGCCCTATTCTTTGGTAACTCCAGCAACTCAAATGCTTTTTAGAATGTATCCAAGACTGCTGCAAGAACAGAAAATGATAAAAGTTCATATGTCCTTTTCCCCAACTAAGCTATTCTAAGAATTCAATTACTCTGGAGATACCCATGAAAATTTCTGAGGTGCTCGGCAGTTTCAATCTAAAGCCCTATTCAGGGGGATGCATACTGGCTGCTACGTGGATTATTGCCTTCAGTTGACCTTTTTGACTAATGGTAAGGTCACAATGGAAGCAAAATGGTAACCCCCGCATCAGGGAGTAACAAGTCCTCAGGATTCCAACTATACACTTCCTGCAACAACTCAGGCTATTCTTTGTACCTTGGAAACCCAACATGAGGGGCTGCTGGCAGGAGTCCTTGAAATATTTCTATACCAGATGAGTGGGGAGTAGTTAAGTACTGTATTCAGAAGCTAGATGACTTCCCCACTGATTTTCACTGAGGCATTTTCTCAGTTTAAACATATAAATCCATGTGAAAATTGTAATAGACCATTGAACCTCTCCATTATTATGGGATTTGTTTCCAGGAATTCAACAGAAGTGGGAGAAAAAGTAAGTTGATGGCCAGGACAGATAGTTTCTCAGATATTGGTGGCAGCAATCCAGTTCTGGGAAAATATATAGAAATATAAGACATAATTTTATTGTGTTATGCAATTTTAGCTGCCCACAAAAAAATATTGTGAATAATTCATAAGAAATCACAAGCCCCCTTATTTGGGGCCACCAACAAACAAGGCGGCAAACTGTAATGTAAAGTCAGTAAGTCACTATTGGAAAGTAAAGATGTTGGAAAAAGGAAGAGACTGAGGAAAATGCAAGGGATACAATCTCACTGAATCTTTATCACCTTCTCAATAGGTTCCTCCCTGTCCCCAGGAAATCAGATGGGAAATAATTGGCAAAAGGTGCAAACTAATGGGCAAAATTGAGGGAAATAGGCAAAAATGAGGGAACCTCAAAACTGGGAACAAGATAAATTTACGTATCTGTTTATTCTCCCCAACTTAATCTTTTCCTATTTTGTGTGTGTGTGTGTGTGTGTGTGTATACTGGAGCCATGGATTCTGCATTTCTATGGACCTTTCTTGTTTTGCCTAACCCAGAAAAACATCCAAGGTGTGGGTGTTTTGGGACAATCATCTATCTGTTCTTTCTCTTCTGAAGTTTCCATGCAAGTCGGTCCCCCCATAGAAGAATATGCCTTGTCTCCCAATGTGCTTCATAATGTGTCAGGAAGGGAATTACTGTCTAGTTGTGTAAACTTCAGGCTATGATATTCCATACCATGGATGTAGTGTTTTGGGAGCACCTGAGATGCCAGTCATCTAGATTGGTAAATATGTGCTTTCTGAAACAAAACGAGGCTACAGGAAAGTGGCAGTCTCACCCAATGCTGACAAGTTACACCCAAATTATAGGATATAGATCTCTCTTTATGGGCCTCCAGAACAAATTATAGCAGTTTAATAAAATGGATCGATTCCATTGTTATAACTTACAATAAAGAAAAAAAATGACTACATATAGAACATGTTCTCTATTTCTAGCTCAAATGTATATAACAAATAATCAGAAAAGAAGATGTGGTTCATATATACAATGGAATATTACTAAGCCATCAGAAAAGATGACTATCTACCATTTACATTGATATGGATGGAACTGGAGGGTATTATGCTAAGTGAAATAAGTCAATCAGAGAAAGACAGTTATCATATGGTTTCACTCATATGTGGAACATAAGGAATAGTGCAGAGGACAATAGGGGAAGGGAGGGAAAACTGAAGGGGAAGAAATAAGAGAGGAGCAACCCATATGAGACTCTTGAGTCCGGGAAATAAACTGAAGGTTGCAAAAAGGGAGGTGGGTGGGGGAATGGGGTAACTGGGTGATGGGTATTAAGGAGGGCACATGCTGTGATGAGCACTGGGTGTTATACGCAACTAATGAATCATTGAACATTATATCAAAAATTAATGATGTACTATACATTGGCTAATTGAATTTAAATTTAAAAAGTTAAAAAAAGGAAAATTATATAAACAGGACATAATTTAAAAAGGACATTTACCTTATAATTTTCCCATATTATGTGTCAGAAAGGAAAAAAAAATTACAAGGAAGGTCAATTTGTTTATAGATTTGTACATAATCTAAGAGAAATAATTCCTCTAACACCTGTGGTACCCCACCTTGCCACTCCTTACCCACTATGGATGAGTCAAGTATTCTTCTGTAACAGACATGTTCAGCTTTTTTTTTTTTTTTAACTTTTACCTAAGAAGTCAAGGTTCCTGCTTAAGTTTTCTTATGGAAGTTTTTGATTTTTGTGGCAATTGATTCCCCAGGGATTCAAAGATTCACCTACTGTATTCTCTAGGCATTTATAAGAAAGCTTAAAAATTTTTGTCCACCTTAAGATTCCATCCTAATTCAACACTGTTTGATTTATTGTTAGCCCCTAACACCTTACATGCTAGTAAGAAAGATACTTTAGCTTTACCAAATTTCTTAGCCTCCCAGGACTAAAGCCTTCTTGGATAAGTTGCAATACCCAAACTGAAGTCAAATAGTTGTGATATGTTTTATTGGCAAACAGATGGAAGATAGTTGTATCTTGAATTCAGCCTAATATACCAATGAAACAATGTACCACACATACACACACAAAACAAACCTCCAACAATTTTGAGGGTTGTTGTAGAACCTTGCCTTTTATGAAAAGGTTGAGTCTCTCTGAGATGTTACATAAAGTATCGAAATTATAGTCAAAATAAGCTGAAGAACCCTTTCAGTCTTAAAATAGTTGTTGTTTCTGGGGCACCTGGGTGGCTCAGTCGGTTAAGCGACTGCCTTCGGCTCGGGTCATGATCCTGGAGTCCCGGGGTCGAGTCCCGCATCGGGCTCCCTGCTCGGCGGGGAGTCTGCTTCTCCCTCTGACCCTCCTCCCTCTCGTGCTCTCTCTCTCTCAGTCTCTCTCTCAAATTAATTTTAAAAAAAATCTTTTAAAAAAAATAGTTGTTGTTTCCTCATCTGTCTTAGTTTTAACTTTGATAAAACCTTTTACGTTTTCTGTCATGAGATTAAGGGTGGTTCTAATAGTGTGCTTATTTAGAAAATTAGGCCCTGGTTATAGGCATGTTGCTTACTCTTCTGTGTTACTGGGTTTTGTTGCTCTGAGAGTGCAAGGGTGTTATCAGTGCATAGTAGCAACCACTCTCCCGACTGGAAAAGCTCAGGCTTTGACCTTGGGACACTTAACTTACTAAGAGATATCTCATGCTGTTATTAGTTTACAAGTTCTTTTTTTTTTATGATTTTATTTATTTGACAGCGAGAGAGGGAACACAAGCAGCGGGAGTGGGAGAGGGAGAAGCAGGCTTCCCACAGAGCGGGGAGCCCGATGCGGGGCTCAATTCCAGGACCCTGGGATGATGACCTGAGCTGAAGGCAGACGCTTAACGACTGAGCCACCCAGGCGCCCCAGTTTACAAGTTAAGACTCATGCATCTCTCAGTGTGCTGCCTGACTAGCTATGAACAAATATTATTATCTAATCCTAGTGCTATTCTGTGCAAGTGTAACCTTTTAAACCTTTCTACTATATTGCAAGGTTCTGATAAAATAGGTTGAATATGACTCTTACAGTCATTGAGTAGATAGCA